AACGTATAGTAGACCTGTGACCCCGCATGCGTTCCCTTAAGTCATTAAATGTCTTGCCCACGTAAGTGAGACCACAGGGGCATATAATTCTATACACAACATGTGTGGTCCTGCATGTAATCCAGTGTTTAATTGTGTACACCTTTCCAGATTTTGGGTGACATAAGGTTTTACCCAGTATCATAGAATTGCACGCCAGACAGTTCACACTGCAAAAACATTCCGCTTTTGTCACTTTCTGTAATGACTGTGTTGTGGACACTATATCTATGTGCATCAATTAGTCTCTCAGATTGTTCCCTTTTCTATAACTCATAATAGGATGTTTTTAAATACAGGAGGCAGGGATGAGTCATTGTATAGAACGTGCCAATTTTTCCGAATGGTAGCTCTGAGGTTTTGGGACTTTGGACGAAATGCCTGAGGGAAAATGAATCGATCAACGATGTCTTGATGAATCCTGTTTTCTGTAATTGATTCTATTGCCTTTGTGTATGCCACATTCAGAACCGTTTTTGAATATCCTCTTTGTAGGAATTTTTGGAACATGTTCTGAATCTGTATCTTCACCCCGATGTAATCTGAGTTATTGCGCAATACTTTTATGAATTGGGAGATAGGCAGTGACTCTTTTAGTTTTCTAGGATGGAAACTTGTTGAATGCAGAATAGTGTTCCTATACATTGATTTAGAAAACAAAGTATAGCCCAAGTGATTACTTGTGACAAAAATTTGTAGATCCAGGATATTAGTCATACTCGAGTGGTAAGTGAATCTCACAGGTGTAGAAAGTGAATTCAGTGTGTGCATAATGTTCACAAACATTTCCTCTCCACCAGTCCATAGAAGAAGGATGTCGTCTATAAAGCGGAGGTATTATAATATATGGTCTCCATAAGGCCCAAGGATCTGTTGTTGCTCAAAAACAAACATGTATGCGTTTGCATACATGGGGGCCATAGGAGCCCCCATTGAAGTTCCTGTCTATTGTATATAGAATTTTATTTCAAATCTAAAATAATTCAAAAAGAGACATAGCTTCAAAAGTTCCAGTGTATACTCCAGAGCGGGATTCACCCACTCAGTAAAATTCTGTAGAACTTCCTTGATTGCTAGTATACCATCATTGTGTGGGATTATTGTGTATAAGCTAGACACATCAATCATTGCTAGTAAAATCCCTTTGTGTTTCCGTGCCTCTCCACAAAATCAACACATCTTCGATAAAACGAACATAACTTATAATGTGTTGTTGAAATGGTTTCAAAATACATACTTGCTAGTCAACCAATACTTATTAAAATGGATGTTAATAGCCTCTATACCGTCATACCGAATGATGATGGTAAAGAGGTTATGAGACAGGTGTTATCCTCTTCTGCAGTCTATCAAGGCCCTCCCACTGAGTACACACTTGAATTACTAAAACTCACTTTGAAGAACAACTACTTTCATTTCGAACAACAATGGTACAAGCAGGTGTCAGGAACGTCCATGGGTGCAGCCATGGCATCCATGTACGCTAATGCGTACATGTATGTGTTTGAATCAGAATGTATTTTGAAGCCATTTCAGCAACACATTATAAGTTATTTTCGTTTTATCGACGTTGTGTTGATTTTGTGGAGAGGCACGGAAACACAAGCACATTACAAATGACTGCAAACATCAGTGCAGAGAAAGTCCAATTTCTGGACTTGGAGATATACGTTACAGATCACAGAATTGTATACAGTCTATATTTGAAGCCCACTGACTGAAATACAACATTACATTACAACAGTGCCCACCCTACAGCTCTTAAAAAGTCTATTCCCGGTGCTCAATTTCTTAGAGTTATAAGAAATAACTCCAATGAAACAATATAACACAACAGATAGCACAAATGAAAGAAAAATTCCTAGAGCGAGGTTATAGTGAAAGAATCCTGGAAAAAGCGTTGGAAGAAGCAAAGAGTGCACCCACGCCAAGGGATTCCACAATAACCCTAGGATGGTTTTTCCAATGACATTCCACAATAGAGCAATGGAAGTGTCTAATATAGTAAAAAAAGAACTGGAACATGTTAGCATGTGATGACACACTGTCAAAAGTGTTCAAAGAGTCACCAAGGATCTGTTATTGTTGGAATAAAAATTTACGAGACATACTGATGAAGACTGATCCAGAGGGCAGTTATGAACAGCACCCAAAACCACAAGTGAGGGGATGTATTCGTGGTTTAGGGTGTGTGACATGTGGGCATATGGTCCCTTCACGCAACTTCAATAAACCACACAAAAATAAAAGTTTCAAGATCCGATATACAATTACGTGATAAAGCACTCTATGTTATTTACAAAATATCTTGCCCTTGTGATTTAGTCTATATTGGAAAAACCGAGACACAATTATGTGATCATAGATCCAATATAAGAACAGCATATAGAGATGGACGAACAGATAAACCAGTAGCAAAACATTTTTTAGAGCATAAACATCCCCTCACAGCACTGATATTTGTGGCCATAGACCAAGTACCATTCTCAAAAAGAGGTGGAGATAGAGGGAACTTATTACTAAGAAGGGAGACATTTTGGATACATGAACTGGACACAGTTGCACCTAGAGGTCTGAATGAAATGATATCATATGATTCATTTATATGAACAATTTATCATTATTAGAAAACAACTTGCCTTGAACATTTTAAAAGTGTATTGTATGTGTTGTACTCCTATAATTTTTAGTAGGAGTATATATACCATTAATTTGGTATAATTTTAAGGAATTATTGTGACTTATATAGAAATTTTTTATGGTTTAACCCCTTAAGGACACAACTTCTGGAATAAAAGGGAATTGTGACGGAATATTTCCGTCATGTGTCCTTAAAGGGTTAATGAAGTTATTGTTTTCCTTTCATCATTGTATCACGTTAATCACTTCAATATATAATATACATAGTTTTACCCAAATTTATATACATGGCACTTTAAAATTATCTTTAGTGCACTTTAATGTACATAAAAGCATATATGTCACTTTAAATCAATTTAGGTGCACTTTAATGTACATAGAAGCATACAGGGTACTTTAAATTAATGTTAGTGCACTTTAATGTACATAGAAGCACATATGGAACTTTAAATCAATTTTGGTGCACTTTAATGTACATAGAGCATATATGTCACTTTAAATCTATCTAAGTGCACTTTAATGTACATAGAAGCACGTGTCAGCACTTTAAAATGCACAAATGTGTAAACATGACAACTATGCATCATTAATATTAATTTTACACATAGCACTTTAACAGATACTTGATATAAACACTTTTGCTGAATTTGAGTTTTTCTAAGTCACTTGATCAATCACAATGTAAGCACTCTGAAAGCAACTTATACACAATATCAATAGAATGTAAACGGACACTATATTTTGTTATATATTGCTACCATAAAATTTATCTCTGTGATCGTACACTCATTCTTGGTGATGGATAGCCTCTTTCTATACTTTGTTTATGTTTACCCTAATTTCTATGGCACTCAATGTGATATTGGGTTACCATAGCAACACAGGGAGAGTCACCACGCAACTTCCGGTTGTGGTATATTAACACATGCGCACTTAGTCATCATGGACGCCGTGTATTTCTTATTTACTAATGTATTTCTTATTTACTAATGAACATGCTATATAACGAAAAGACCGTGAGTGCAAGCCATTTACTGTTTACATATATACATAAGTATATACGGATATATAAATAAAAATAATTTTAAAAAATTATGTATATATTAATTCTACCTATATATTTATGTAATATGTTTACATAATTAGGTCATTTTATGAATTACAATTTGTGGGACATGCCTGACAACCCAGGCCGATTTTATTTGCTAGCCCTATATTTAACCCTATAGCTTTCCAAGACAACATAAAACCTGTACATGGGAGGTACTGTTTTACTCGGGAGACTTCACTGAACACAAATATTAGTGTTTCAAAGCAGTAAATGTATTACAACCATGATATCATCAGTGAAAGTGAAATTGTTTGCATTTTTCACACACAAATGGCACTTACACTGATGATATTAATGCTGTGATACTTTTTACTGTTTTGAAACAAAAATATTTGTGTTCAGCAAAGTCTCCCGAGTATAACAGTACCCCTCATGTACAGGTTTTAAGGTGTTTTCAAAAGTTACAGAGTCAAATATAAGGCTTGCATTTCAGTTTTTTCACATTGAAATTTGCCAGATTGGTTATGTTGCCTTTGAGACCGTATGGCCAAACACTGGCCAAAATTGAAGTTCAAATGAGTTTTTTGCATTTTTCACACACAAATATTAACGCTAACTTTGGCTAGTGTTTGTGACCAAGTGGCTACTGTAAAAGGCTGGACATACCCCATTTGCAATACCTTGGGTTGTCTACTATTGCAAATGGTATGCCATCATGAGGGTAATTCTCAATTCTGGGCTACCATATAGTCTCAAAGGCAACATAACCATTCTGGCAAATTTCAATGTGAAAAAAATGAAAAATGTAACATTGTATATTTGAGCCTGTAACTTCCCAAAATACCATAAAACCTGTACATAGGGGGTACTGTTTTACACATGAGACATCTTTGAATACAAATATGTGTATTTTATTGCAGTAAAAGTAAACAGTATTATGACATTCACAGTTAAAATGTCACGTAGAACTAAAAAAAAATCTTATTTTCTCCCATTTTTTATATTTTATTCATATTAAATTAGAGTTCATAGCTAAATATTTGATGTTAAATCAAAGCCTGGTTTTCCCTTAATAAGATGATATATAATAAGTGTGGGTGCATTTAATATGAAAGAGGTGAATTACAGTTGGACAGACATACAGCGCAAATGCCAGGTGTTGTTTATGTTTTGTTTTGATCACAACGTGTACATTTGGCTCAGTCTTTAAGGGGTTGATGGGGTTAAATTATAAAATGAGCATACAATACATGTTTACAGTTTTAACTTACCATTTTGTTCTCCTATATCCACTGAGTTCCAAAACTATTAAGTACAATGTTGTAAGAAAAAGAAGGACAATTATTTTTGGCAATGAAGAAATGCGTAAAAAAATTGCCAAAGTTAAGGTGTTGACTAAACAGGATAAAAAAGCATAATGAGCTGAATTGCATGGACGTTCATCCATTGTTTTATTGTCTCCATTTGAGGAAATAATCACAATGGAGCTGTTCTTATTTGTATTCCAGAGCAACGGGATGCAGCCAGCCTGAAAGGAAATAAAACAATATATATCTGTTTATTTTTCCTTTGAAAATAAATAATCCTCAATTTATAACTGTTATGAGTTTAACAATCTAGGGTTAGCCACAGGTCTGACTATAAAAAAAAAAGAAAAAAGTTACCTGCGCTCTTTCCCAAATCCCTATGTATATTTAAACAAATAGAGGTTATTTAGTTACTCCAAGTTTACTGTATGTATTGGAGCTGATGTGTACTATGGTCGTTGCTGCATGGAGTTTGAGCACAGGACTTGTTTTTTTGTACAGGTCTGACTATGTCTATTTGTTAATGTGAACATTGCAATTTGAGTATTTATAAAGGTAGTTTGAGGACAAATATTATAATTATCAGATAATTAATATTATAGAGTCACTTGTAGTTAAGTAGTTAAAAATCTAAATCTAAGGCAAAATAATCTGCCAAAATATTTTTTGTAAACCTTCATAAAATTGGACAATAAATTATTCAATAGTGTTGCAGATACTCTTGGTATCAGGTTACACAGATTCATTCCGGACACAGGTCATAGGAAAAACAAGCGACGGTTTATTCAAAACCAGGCTACGGTCTCATCAGAACAGACTCATGTCTGCAAAAAGGACTGAGACAGAGCCCCCTCTCCTGTTAACAGTGCTTATATATGACTGATGATGCAGTTCATAGATACAGAGGAAATGCAAGGGTTACACCCATACTGCAGCAATTAATAACCCAATTAATAACCCAAGCATATACTTATCTCAAAAAGAATTAACTATGTGGCAAACTCCGCTTTTTAGCTGAATTTGCCACAAGTTCTTGGAGGGGACTACTTGCCAGCCTTTTACCCTGTGACTATGGCCACTGCAATAAAACTGACTAATATACTTCAAACAGGCTTTGTTCATGCAATTGGGACTATATGGTTCGTTTACCTAACAGAGACCACCCTGGAGCTTGTTAACACCTATTAACAACTTGGAACGTTTCTCACGTGTTCTAATTGTTCATCTGGGTGGCCGCGATTCCAATGAACAACCACAAGGTGGCGGCCATCTTGTTCGCATGAACGCAGGCAGCGGTGTTTGGGCATGAATCTCATGGAACTGAAATCAGATCCAGAAACTCTCGAACACCGCTGAACTTCCATCATCGCCTGCGTTAGTTTCTATTCAGCTTAGAAGGGCACTGTTTGGTGAGCTCATTCGTCTAAATGAAGGGAACAAGCTCCAGCATAAGACTATTGACTCCGTTTTGTAGTTTGTTCATTTGCAAACTACCAAACTAGACCGGCCGCAACCCCTGATTCTCTGGAACTGTTTTGGGCATGAAACCATGCGTGCAGTTGGTCAAAAGAGACTTCCAGGAATTTCCTGAACCCCTAATCTGATCTGGGTGATTTGGGGATATGTTGTTCACCCAGATCAGGGCTATCAGGGGATATGTTGTATTTCGGGGTACTTATTGGACTTTATAAAAAATATGTGTTTTTTCCAACAAGGTCCACCTGGGCGTCAACCTTGTTGGAAAACTTGTATAAAAGGCAGTGTGCTTACATTAAAATTCTATTCCTGCTTACACTCTGAAACTGTGTGTCATCCTGTTATTGGAGGGAAAGAAGATTTGCTCCTGTGTCTGCTGTTCCAGCTTGCAGGAGATTCAACGGGTAGAGTCCTTGTAAGGACAAGAGCTAAATCCCCATTCGGTTCCAGGAAGAAGCAGTTCCAGGGCCCCAGTCAAGCCACAGCGACTGTGGGCAGAAGTGCTGTGGTTTGTCCCCTCTTCCAGCTAGGAAGCGGTCCTTGGTGGAGGTACCCAGTTGGGGTACAGGGAGCTCCACTACAAACTACCATTAAGCATTCCAAGCATTTCTACACATGCACCCTTTTCCTGAGGATTTGTACAGCAATTTAACCACATAAGTTCAAGATGTTTCTGGGGCATCCTGTAGCCACAATACGAGCAAAAATTTAAAAAATAAAACTTAAACCAGCTTAATTAAAAAAATATAAAATACATGTATTTCTTGATCAGGGAAAAGAAAGTAGAAAAAGCAGATAAAGTAGCACAGAGTGGTGATGCTAATGCATTTCGTGCCTCGGAAGCAATTTCACAGTCACTGCCAAACTACACTACATAATACCTTGTACTGAACAAATCTATATATGGGCCAAAGATGCAGAAGATATTCAACTGGACTTTTTTCATTTTGTTACTAGATTATTATTTTACGATAATGATGCTACCATTGTTACACATAGTTTACTACTGTAATTTTTTGTACTTTCTGTTACATGTAGTTATTAATAATCTGGCTGATAGAATTTTGGTTAGCAAATATTTAATTGTTTATAACAAATAGCTGGCCTGCTCCATTCCTCCTCCCCCGCTTGCCACTCCCAGTTGTAAATTCTTTTAAAGTAATGTAACTGTCGTATCCCTCTTCCTTCCCCAAACCATCGATCCCTGCAACATGAAGGCCATTTAATTTTACTCGGCTCACCCTCCCCTCCTCCCGCCCACCCTGGTTCCTTCTAACTATATAGCGTGTGTGACGAGACCAATCTCGCCACATTGCATTGGAGAAGCCTGGTTGCTCGCCTGTTGCCTTTGGATTATGGCCCCATGTTAAAAGGCTTGATTTTCCCCTGCAAAGACAAGAAAGCTGGGTCATTTGGTGCTTGCCCTGTTTGAGCAGTGATACCCCAGATAGCTATGCCATGGAGCCCATTCGTATAATGAAAGACTATGGGAAAGACTTTGGCTCCATGGCAATTGAACTGTATGTGTGTGCTCTGAGCGCCATTCAGTAATAATGTGCGCTCAGACCTAAGCTATCTGGGGATATGTTGCATGTCTGTATTTTATGTCATAAATGTAACCTTGTGTATTTTATTGTGTTTTACTGTCTTTTTGCTGCCATGTGTTCAATGGAGTTTTGCCTCTGTCTTTGGAGATAATTGGATTACTTCTAATTATCTCCAGGATAGAAGACTCTGTGGAACTGGTTTTGGGAAGAAAAGCCATGCTTCCCGTGGTCACAAAGGACTACGATCTATCTTTTGAACCACTGGACCAATTTGTATGATTTTGACGTATGTTTGTATTTGGAGTATGCTGATTCTGAAAATGTGAATGTGATGCATACTTTTCAAGTTATGAATAATGTGGAAACATTTTATTTCTTTGCTTGTGCTAAATTACATTACCCATTGTGTAAGGTAATTGAATCACATGCAGAGGGGAGGGATTTGTGTGGGAGTGTCTGCGTGTATTGTATGTGTTTATTGGTTGTGTTCTAAAACCCTGTGGGTGTTACTAATGTGTAAGAATGTGTACATAAGCACAATAAACCCACAGCTCTGTCTGTTCACTGCTTGAACCTCAACACGGAGCTTTGTCTCGTTCTTGGGGGGATTAATTGTATGCTGTTCCAGTTTGACTGCTAGGAGTGTAAACCTATTCGTATGGTTTTTCCTATTCGGCTGTTTACAGCATTCGTATGGTTTCCTGTTCGGTGGATTGGTGTTCTGCAGTAGCTTTGCCTGCATCTCTGGAAGGGGACGATCGCCTAAACGGTTTAACCCCTTGTGTGCTGAAACGGTCCGTTACAGCGTGCACCTCCAGCTGTTTGGAACTACACCAATCACCTACCTATTACCTTCACATATTGTCAGCTGCTGCAGTTATACCATTAACTCTCTCTGCCATCACATAAAAATTCCTCTGCTACTTCTTGTCTCATACCCCCATTTCAACCTTTAGATTGTAAGCTCACGGGCAGGGCCCTCTACCTGTTGTATCGTTTGTTCTTATTGTGTTTGTCTTTTTCACAATTGTACAGCACTGCGGAATTTGTTGGCGCTTTATAAATGCCAGTAATAATAATAAAGCTTCATGGATAAAGTTTCACATCTGTGATATAAATGCTTTCAGAGAAAACATTTTTTATAATTTGTTAAAAATGTGCACAAAAATAAAATGGCTGTCATACCCTGGGACATATGACCTTCAAATTTTATATACAGCAGCTTACAGTACACGTGTACATTTCAACAATCCCTATAGCATGTTAGATCATTTGAGCAGGGTCCTCAAGCCCTTCTGTTCCTGTGCATCAAACTTGCCTGGTTACAAATATCTTAACATTGTGCCAAGTTTCACGAGTTTTTATTTAGCAGTGTGTTTTTTTTATAGGCATTTTAAAAAAGCAGTGAAATAATAATAATAAATATAATATCATGTAGCTGCAAGCTGCAATAATGGTGCCCACTTCACAGTAGACGTGGGTATTCATTTTCATCCAAATTTTGGCTATTTGTCCATTTATATGAAAGACAAATGAATGAATAGAAATTACAACAAATGAAGACCAAATTGCTTGTTGTATGAATATCTGTCATGCAATTCGGTCTTCGTTAGTTCATTTAAATGTATTACAAGGAGGGAGTTACCAGCCCATGGCTCTCTCCTTGTAATATTTAAAAATAGAAGCTTCTTAAATACCACCTTCCCCCTTACCCACTGAGAGTCAGTATGACCCTTATATTAGTAAAAGGGAGGTGCTGCGAGTATATGGGCATGTCTACTAAAGAGTGAGCAGCCAGTGGCTTCCCACTATTGTAAAAAAAGACTAGAAAATTTGCAGCTATGCCTCCATGGTGGGGAACCTATTAAAATAATTAACTGCTGGGAGGGCGTGGCTAACTGCAGAGCGTAATGGTCGCTTAAACCTGAGCTCCGGCTACCAAGGCCTATAATCCACATCAATCCTGATGCTTAGGACTTGTAAACCGCAAAAACGAAAGATGGCACAACACAAACCGAAGAAAGGCTCAGTTAACCAAACTTTTTCGGCAAAAAACAACAAACAGAGTCCACGGAGCATCAGCGGCCTACAGAAGATGGCGACACCAATCCTGAACATCAAAACTCACAGCAAGATATAGAACA